AGAGAGAGGATGGGGGTGGTCTGGGGACGAGATGGGAACTGTACACAGAGCCACTCACACTGCAGGACGGGACCTCCAGGGACCCGCCTCAGAGCTGACCACATCACTCATGTCACTCACGCATCACTGGTGGCTTCTCAGTGCCTTCCAGGCAAACAGAGCAAAGGTTTCTTGTGCTCTGACCGCTACCTGCCCTTCCCTAGGGGGTGGGGCCTCTCAGGAGGGTGTGTCAGCTCAGGTGAGCGAATCCCTTCCTCCTGGATGTCACTAGGAGGCAGGAAGAGACATGGGAGGGGGGCAGAGTAGAGAGAGGATGGGGGTGGTCTGGGGACGAGATGGGAACTGTACACAGAGCCACTCACACTGCAGGACGGGACCTCCAGGGACCCGCCTCAGAGCTGACCACATCACTCATGTCACTCACGCATCACTGGTGGCTTCTCAGTGCCTTCCAGGCAAACAGAGCAAAGGTTTCTTGTGCTCTGACCGCTACCTGCCTGTCCCAACTCCTCCCTGCCTCTTCCTTCCTTGCACTTGAAGTCCCAGCCACACCAAGCTGTGGTGTTTCCTAAGGACATATTTTAGTCATTCCACGAGCATCGCACAGAGGGCTGCCCCTGCCAGGCCGGAGAGAGGACTGCACTGTGACTCCTGGAGGAATGACCCCTTGAGGCTAGGATAAAGTTGCATTTTGTCCATCTTTGTGGACCCAGTGCCTACATTGTGTCCGTTACATACTATGAGCTCAGAAGAAGCCTGTGGAATTCATGCATAGTCACATACCGCATATTTAGTGAGCACCTACTATGTGCCAGGCCCTGAGATGCACCTACTATGTGCCAGGCCCTGAGATGCAGCAGTGAGCTTTAGCAACTCCATGCTCTCCTAGAGTTGCCAGTTTAATGAAGAGGCTGACAACAAACAAGTAAGTCACAGAACTCGCAATACTGGTAAGTGCTATGGAGGAAAATAAGGAAGGGGTTATGTGGAGCAGTCAGGCAAGGCCGCCCCAAAAAAGGTGATACCAAGGCCAAAAAAGGACCGGCATGAGAAGATGTAGCAGACAGCTTTCCAGGCAGCACCATCAGCAAGTGCAAAGGCCCTGAGGTGGGCACATGCCCAGCAAGTTAAAAGAATAAGAAGAAGATCAGTGTTGTGAGAGGAAACCCTGAGCCCCTGAGCTCTGCAAGGCCTCCCAGGATCCTTCGTCAGAGGGACTAGTGTGGTGCCCAGTGGCTCAGGAGGCCTCGGACCCTGGGCCAGTAACAGACAGCTCGGAATCAGCTCTAGCCCAGGGAGCTCTTACTGTAATGAGATTTGTTCAATGGGATTTGCCCTGGAACATCAAATCAAATTCACATCTGGGGTAGGTGTGAATGGGGGAGGGGTGGCATCTGCCTGTTCTCTCCCAGAGTCCCTGGAGGCCTGTAGATCAAAGGGCTTCCCTCTCATCCAGCCCCCTCTGGGGGCATGGCAGCTTCCAAGCAGGCAAGACAGGACCCAGCTGAAGAAGGGGGAGTTGGGAGCAGTGACTCCTCATGGAAATAGACTATCATTGCCCTCATTCTGCAGTTGGGGAGGGGGAAAGGCGCACCCATGATAACACAACCAGTAAGTGGCAGAGCTGGGATTTGAACCGGGGTCTCCCTGACCTCTAGGCTGTGCCTTCCCCACAGCAGGCAGTGCTGGAGAGAATGGAGAGAGCCCCCTCGGCAGCCCCACAGCCCAGGACCTTCCCGGAGAAGCAGAAAGTGTTTGCCCACTGTTAGGGGCCTAGCTGAGGTCTGGAGCCTGCAAACTTTTGAACTTGAGGAAGTCCGGGTCTGATGCGGTAATCCACCACCCCCTCAAGAATGTTCAGGCCTCTCCCTGGTGGGTTTTACTTTTTCCCGGTGACCTTGCTTTCACTAATGTATTACTTCTTGGTACGTTACCGTTACTAACTCAAAATCAATACCG